AAAAAAAAAAAAAAAAAAAAAAAAACATTCTAAGTTATCTAACTTAAAAAGACTTAATTCACCGTAGCACTTGTCATACTCCAAGCACTTAGATAGTCCACTGTGATGGCCTCAGTCCCATTGTTGAACACATACAAATGTGCATCTCCAAATACTGCCTTAGTTGGATATACTCTTGAAGTTATGCATATTTTTCCACCCCCTCCGAAGCTCTCCACCACCGAGTGATCAATCTATATATCAACAAACATTCCATATCATATCATTACTACTATATACTTTTCATTTTATACTTTACATTTGCCTATCATTTTATCATACCAGAGTTCTCAATGGCAGCTTTTTACTCGATAAGTCGATGTCCACGAACCCTGCAAATGATGGCTTGTACAATCCTTCCTTCTTCAAAGACGAGCTACACCACAAAACAGAGACACAAAGATAAACTATTTTGTTTCATAAGATGAGAGATTTTGGTTTTGAGATGAAAGAAACTGAACCTTGATGCATCAGAGCACAGAAGCACCACGTGATTGTGATGGGCCTTGAAAATCCTGAAGAACACAGGAGTGAATTCCTCGAGGTTTTCTGATGCCAGTGTCAGAAGCCCAAACGGCCCAACTCCACCTTGGACCTTTGAGCCCAGTTTACCACACACCGCTTGTGCATCCACCCAGCTTGGATCAAACGGCTCAGCTTTATCCAAGCTTGAAAAGCTGAACGTAACTTCAACATCAGCCTGTACAAATATATGTTAAGAAACAAACTCCATACAAAATCATAACACCATTGAAGTCCGACAAACCTGGGCAGCAGTGATTCCTTTAACCTCAACGTGTTGTTCCTTGTACAGCTTCTGATGACTTAACTTAACCTGCTTCCCTCTCAGCCTATTCAGCTCCTCAACAGGCCATTGCAAAAGTTGCTTCCTATTAGGATCCAACCACACCGTCCTTGGAATTGCCTGCAAAAACAACAATCAATCAAAGGTCACGGGAAACATCATCCACAGCGCTGTCAGCATTAACGAGGGAAAAACAGACCTGAATTCCAGCCCATCCTTTAGAAACATCATCCACAGCACTATCAGATTCATTAGCCCAACCCCACAAAACCCTCCTCTTCTTCGCCGGATCATAAAACGTCTTTGAGGCGTAGAAATTCCCATAGTCATATCTCAGCCCATTCCATCCGTCCACCGAAGTATTATCAGGAACATACCTATCCCGCTCATGATAATACTTCCCCACCGTGTAATACTCATATCTAGTAACATCCAAACTCACCTTAAGCACATGTTTAACCAAATTCCCCGTCACCGACACGTCCAATCCCTGATTGCCCGACAGAGGAACCGGGAAGAAATCAGGGCACTCCCACATGCCTGTATTAGGGGCAGAGTGTAAAGGGTGTTTCGCCTTTGTCCATTTCACGAAATCCCTACTTCTGTATAAATACGCCACTCCCCTCTTCCGTCTCTTGCTACCGATGATGGTTTTCCAGTGTCCGCTGTCGCTCAGCCATGCCGTCGTTGGGTCCCGGAAGGCGCTGGCGTTGACTCCCGAATCCGGGTCGACGATCGGGTTGTCGTCGGGTTTGATCCAGTCGGTGAGATAGGGGTCGGAGAGGTTGGCCGGAATGGCGTAGTTTTGAACCTGGCGGTTTTGGGGGTCGATTCCGGTGTATAGAATGACGGGCTTGTTGCCCGGGAGGACAGTGGCGGAGCCGGACCAACAGCCATTGATGTCGAAGGGCTTGGAAGGGTAAATGGCGTGTTTAAGTGCCTTCCAATTGACCAGGTCTCTGGACACCGAATGAGCCCAAACTATGTTGCCCCAAATTGCGCCTTTGGGGTTGTACTGGTAGAAGAGGTGATAAATTCCATTGAAGTACATTGGGCCTGTTTCATCGTTCACAATACGCTTGGTCAAAACAGTAATTCATACCAGCATTAATTTCTTTATTTTTTTATGGCTAAATTCATAAATATACTCTTAACAAATTTTATTTGGTCTCAAAAATAACTTTTTAAATTTTTTTTTGATAAAAATTATTAGTGGTTTGTTTAGGATCCTTAAATTTTCAAAAAGTTTTATTAACACTTTTCATTTAAAAAATACTATATTTAAAAAATATTAGCTAAAAAAAAAAAAAAAAAGTCTTACAATCATATATGGACAAAAATGACACATTTTAATCTTAATTAGAAAAGTTTAATAGTAATTTTGAAACGAGATATTTGTGGTAAGATTACATTAATGAAGCTTTTAAAAAAGTTCGAAAATATTTTTAAATTTTTTAAGGGTATTAATGAAAGTTTTGAAAAATCAAGATTATTTTTGTTAACGTAGAGTCAACATGGTATTTTTATAAGACTGCTCGACTCTCAACCAATGACAGATGTTTTACTTTCTTGATTTTCTAAATTTTAAATAGGATAGGCAAAACTAAAAGCTTACTTTTCCAGTTAAATTAATAAAAATATTATTAAACCGTATATAAATATTTTTACAAATTTCCGTGAAATTTTAATTTTTTATTTTTAATATTCTCAATTTTTTTTTTCAAAAAAACTACTAAAAAAATTCTTAAATTTATTTTAAAAGCTAAAAAATACCTCATACCACATTTTTTTTTTTAAATATCATCAAACTTTCAAAAAAAAAAAAAAAACATTACGAAGAAACAAGTTTCTTTTATTATTATTATTATGGTTGTTTAAAAGTAAATAAAATAAGGTTAGGAGTGTTGCAATGACTTACCATTTGGGTCTGCATTTGGTTAAGTTGTTGACAGGATTTGAGCACCACCGCACATATACGAACCACAACCAAATCATATTAGTTACCCAAAAACACACAAACCATCTAAATCTTAACATATTGCCAAAAACTTTATAACTAGAAGTCTTAAAGTAGAAAATTATAATTTTTATCTCCAAAAGTAAAGATACGAGAGTTTATTATATTTAAAGTAGACAATATCGTATTATAAAAAATTATATAATAAATTTAAACAATGAGCACGAATAACAAGCATTTGTATGATTTGGAAACCCACCTGACCCCTACATACAAAATAGGGTTATTGTAAACATTTGCATACCAAAATTAAATAATTTTGACCCAATAAGCTTTTTCTACAAAAAGGAAGACCAAATCTCCACTTTAGTTATATATATATATATATTATTATTATTATTATTATTAGAGATTCCCAGCCACTTGTAGAAGTCCAGTTTTTAATACAAGTTTCGATATTTTTAAGAAAACTCATCAAATTGACCTAATAAAAAATAGCATCATCCATAACCATAATACTATATTATTTTACCTCCATACCTTTACTTTTTAGATATAATATTATAATCACTTCAGCTCACTAAAAAAAACTATTTGGTCTTCTAATAAATAAATAAATAAATAAATATATATATAATTTTTATATTTTTCCTAAATTTAAAAAATAGTCTCTAGAAAGTATAAAATTAAAATTGAAGGGTAAAATATTCCCCACTCCACTCCTTGAATGCCATGTAATAAAAATACATTTTAATATGGCACACCCAATAACATAGTGAGTTTGTGGGTCCCACCATTAACATATTTTTAGAAAAAATAAAGTGCTCACGTGTATCCTATGTCACAATATCACCATGTCAAAGTGTTCAAAGTGTTCATATACTCAAGAGTTCAGTTTTTACTCTAGAATATGTTCGGTTTTTCTTAAGTCGTCTAAAAGTGTTTATAAAGAATTATAGTGTACATTTAACCACTCAAAAAATAAAAAAAAATCCTTAAATTTTAAGTACGAGATGTGCATAGAGACAAGGAAACCTCTGTCCTCGACTCTTACTTCAATCTTTATCTTTATAAGAAAAAAATTATTCATAGTTAGAATTTCTTTTCGATGATAATAATAATAATACTAATCTTGAAATATATTTTCCATCTTCAATTTCCAGTCCAGATGAGTTCGAAGCGGTAATCTCTAGAGTTATATATATATATATAAAAAAAAAAATGATGATAAGGATACCAAAAGTAGGAAAAAAAAACTGATCAGACGGTTAGAATTGGTAGACTCTCTAGAAGCAACTACCAATCAGACGGCAAGAGAGCAAAAAGAAATATACATTATCTTCGATTATAAAAAAATAAAAATGAAAATGAAAATGAAAACGGTAACGGAATGAGATAATGCGAATCCAAGTCCGCAGCACTCGAATCATGAAAGTTATCGATTACCAAAACGATTTACGAAAGTCAGAACTCACAGTCACAGACGCATGAACCAAGTCGGTCACGATTCATCAAAACAAATCGAATCGAATCAAATCAAAACATCCGCAGAACAGAGATTAAAGCGAAACAGAGTGAAATTATGGAAGAATAACGAACCGTTGATCCAGTGGCGGCGAGGCTGGAAGTGGAAACGAGTTCGATGGAGCGGTTTGATCACGGCGTCGTCGGCTCTGTTAAGAGACTGTAATTCGGGATAGAATTTGGGAAGAGCGTGGACGAAGACGACACCATTGTTGATGAACGGAGAAAACAAGGCGAATCCGAGAAGAAGAGAGAGGATTTTACTGAAGAAATTCATTGAGGAACTTAAAACCTAACGCTGAAATTCCTCTGGTGAGGAGTTTGAAGTTTGAACACCTAAGCAGGAGTTTCGATGGTTATTTATAGAGAGAGAATTTGTAGAGATAGAGAGAGAGGATAATTTTTTCTTTTCTTTTCTTTTTCTTTTTCTTTTTCTTTTTTTAAAGTTATTTTTTTTAAAAAAAAAGAGGATAAATTTATTAATGTAATCTTCCACTAATTCACATAAAGATGGGGAACAAATTGATGGTGTTTTGTCTTCAAGACATCTGTTCGTCAAAACAACAAAAAAAAAAAAAAAAAAAAAAAAAAAAAAAAAAANAAAAAAAAAAAAAAAAAAAAAACAATTACGGTGAAAATTATCTTTGAAAAATTAATTAAATTTTACATCTCATTTTTATTATCTATTTGAAAAATAATCTTTCAAATAGTCAAAACTTATTAGAAAGAGTAGGAAGGATAAATAACAATAAAAAATTACAAAATTAAGTAAAAATAAAATAATTTAAAATTAACAAGTCGATTAAGTTTAACTTAAATTATAAATCAATTTACTCTATAAAACTTTTATTTATTTGAACCTAAAACTAATTTAAATAAGATCATAACTCATTTCAAACTATTAATCCTAAGTAAACATATTATTTTAAATATTTTTATATAAATATTTAACATATGTTTTATCATAAATTAATGGTTTTAAAAAATAAGTGATTTGAATAGTATCATAAAAAATAGAAACAAAAAATTATTCTTATCCGAGGAGATAAGGATAGAATTAAAATTTAAAATTTTGTATTAAAATGTGAAACATTTTTTTAGGGAAATACAAATATGATTATGAAACATTTTTTAGGAAAATACAAATGTGATTTGCAATAAATACAAATGAAAAAATAATTATGGATGAACAAAGGAATGATTTAATTTATTAAACAACAAAACCATTAAGATTTTTTTTTCTATAATTTATTTTCTCTTGCATTTTATTATCGTGTTATTATTATTATTTAATTTTAATCATGTTGCCATCTAAGAATGATTTTAAATAAAAAGGTTGACTAATTTTTTATAAATTATTCATCAAATTTTTTTCTTAATTGGAATATAGAATCAATTTAGCATTTTTTAAGAATAAAAAAATTAACAGTTTAAAAGACTGCTCTAAAACTACACGGTTGATGTTTTTTTTTTAATAATTATTCTAAATAAATATCTGGTTAATAATTAAAATTCATAAAACTCAAATATTAAATATTCACAACTCACAGACACAATTACTCACATTTATTAAACCATATTTTTAAAGTAATTAAATTAAATTTTTTATTTTTAAAAAATTCAACCTAACTCGAACCAAAAAAATTACGATTAGTTAATACATGTTGTTCGAGTCATATGAACACTGAAATCTTTGAATTTGTGTCAAATAAGTCTATTAATGGACTAAATCAATTTAATGCATAAACTACAAAAGGTCTTAAACCAACCCCAATCAACTTAGCCTCATAATTAATTAATTAATTTAAATAATGTAGTAAGTACTAGGTTGGGGTTAAAAGTGAAAATGTCAGAGGAGGACACATTAGGTTTAGAATTAAAAATATAAAAAAATTATTTGAAACTTTTAAAATAAAGTATATATATTAATGTTCTTTTAATATATAATCTTATTTATCATGTCACTATTTTTGTTCTTGTAAGATTCTCCTATGAGATTCTCTCAACTTTGTTCTAATTTATAATCCCCTTTTCATTACTCAAAATAATAATAATATTAATTAATAATATAAGTCCCCTCTCCATGCCCTGCCACATCCTCATGCTCCTGACATCCTGGCTTTTTTTTTTTTTTTTTTTGACATGGTACTTTATATTTTATATTTAATTAAATTAAAAAAAAATATTTTGGACTCTAAACTTTACCAATTTAGTTAAGATGGTTAAATTATATTTTATTTTCTTGTAAATGAATTGAAATAAAATAAAAATATAATATTGACATACTTAAACGTCACAAGTAAAATTGATGCACATGTTATTCATTTCACAAGTAGTAGACTCATATCTACTAGGTCCAGCTATGTTAGTCTTAGAAGCTATACATAAATATTAGGTTAGGTTTCCAATTTCAAAACTACTCCAAATTATTTTGCTATGATTAACGAAAAATTAATGATGGAGACACATATTCAAATCGTAATATGTTGTCAAGTTCAATTAGATGATTTGATACACAATAAAAGAGCAGGACCAGAGGTAAAAATATAAGAAGCGGGAGCGGGTTTTCCACCAAATTAAGAAATTGTTCATTTTATCTTACTCTTTAAATTTACGAATATAACCACGTGGAGTGCCAGACCGTCCTATCGAAGAAGATCCTCAGGAAATTCTTTTTTCTTAATACCCTATTCTCCTTCGAGATTTGTTTAGTCATAGCCTAGAAGTTTAGGTTCACACAACATTTACGTTTCTGAATACTTAAAAAACTCATTTTGTATGTGCACGCGAAAGAAAGGAGGGTCGATGTCAAATTTCCGAATTTTGCATACGGAAAGCTTAATGTGATCCCACGACCTAAAGACAAAAGTAGAGGATTGGGTGAGGGAAGTAGGTGTGGAAATGGTGGTAGATTTGTTTATAAGCACTAGAAAGAAAAGGGAGATTCCAGCATTAGGATGGCAAAATGGGAAGGTTTGTGAAGAAGAAAAGAGGGAAACAAGAATGTGAAAAGTGGGAATTGGGCAGAGTAAAAGGGAGGCCTGGGTTGCCCACCTATGGCCATCACCCACCTATATTCCTTCTTTTCAAGTTGCCCATTCTGCTCTTTCCATAACCACTTTTGGTGAAGACTATAAAGCTAGTGGCATCTTGGTTCCATTTACAATGAGCCACATGCCTAACTCCAATACATGGCCTCGATAATACATGTCCATTACCACATGCCATTCTAGTATAAAAATGAGTGAGATAATATTGATATACAAAATACAATGGCTAACGCACTCCAAACTTGCCTTCTAAAAACATGATAGGATTCCACTTCTTCAAATATATACCCACTTTCAAATAGTTTCAATACTATCTTTAACTAGTTGAAACCATTTGGACCGTTTTCAACGAAATGATGGACAAAATTCTATCCATAGATGAAAGGATTGGATATCCCACTGTGTGTACGAAGCACTTCAAAGAAACTATCCAACCAAAAGGTTTGGAGAAGAAAAAATATACTTGGTTCGAGAGCCCATTTTGTTAGGAACCACGACCCTTTACAATAGTATGATATTGTCCACTTTGAGCATAACCTCTCGTGGCTTTACTTTTGGTTTTAACAAAAGAGCTCATACCAATGGATAGTGTTCCTTACTTATAAATTCATGATCTTCCTCCTAATTAATCAACTCATCTTATCCTAGAAGATAATTGCCCGAGTACTCCTTAACATTGTAGAAAGAACGAATTATCTTAAGGAACCAACTGTTGGTCAGATTTCTGACTTAGATTTATAATCCTATAACATAAACCTAATGAATTAATGTTCAAGGCAGAAATACAATCAAATAAAGAACAAGAGAATGAACTAACCTTCAGCTTGGACGAGGTAGAAACAACCAATTACCAATAGTCTCTGCATGAGCAACCCCCTTCCTTGAAGTGGTGAAACCGGTTAGCGTCACGTAGTATGATCGTTCTCCGTTCAATCGACGATACAAACTTGCAAAATGTATGGCAGTCACCACAAACTCTAAGATTCTTTGTAATCCTTATAGGAGTGTCTCCAGGTATGACTATTAAGCCAAACGCAATGGCCAACTTTTCACTATGTGCATATAGAAGTCCTTGCTTTACTTCCTCATCAACATCATGCAGCACATAGTTTGTATCCGGGACATAGCCAGCCAACTCGAGCTTCTCGTCGACTCGTTTCAGCATCACATAGATCTCGCTCGACCTCGGATGTGTTTTATCTCCAACACTGAATTGATAGAGTTTTTCATCCACCTCAATCCACGTCCATCCAGGGATCTTCTTTAGTCCACATTTGGTCATCAAATCTCTTGTTTTTGCCATATCTTCCCACTTACCAGCATTTGCATATATGTTTGAAAGCAATACATAATGCCCTGGGTTCTGCGGCTGTAGCTCAAGAAGAGAGCTTGCCACCCTTTTCGCCAAATCTAAACGTCTGTGAATCCGACATGCCCCCAGCAATGCTCCCCATAGTCCTTCATCTTTCTCTACAGTCATGCTTTCTATCAATCCCAAGGCCTCATCGAACCTCCCAGCTCGACCTAGGAGATCAACCATGCAAGTATAGTGTTTTACATCTGGTCTTACACCGTACTCGTCCCACATTGAGGCAAAAAATCTCTGGCCCTCTTCAATTAGACCAGCATGACTACAAGCATACAACAACGAGACAAACGTGATCCGATTTGGCAATATTCCGCTGCTTAACATCATTGGGAATAACTTGAGCGCTTTCCCGCCTTGTCCGTGATATCCATAGGCTGCAATCATGGCACTCCATGTAATCACATTCTTCATTTGCATCTGATCAAAAATCTCCCTTGCCAAATCAACACTCCCACATTTCGCATACATATCGATCATTGCAGTCCCTAAGATTACATCCAAACAAAATCTGGTTCCATTAATATAGTCATGAATTGCCCTGGCCTTATTCATGGCACCCAACTTTGCACAGGCATAAACAACAGTCACCAACGCCACTTTATCAGGGACAATACCTTCAACCCTCATCCTATCAAACAAAGTCAATGACTCAACAGCACTGCTGCATTCAGCCAAGGCACCAACCATCACTGTCCATGTCACAAGATCTCTCCTTGGCATTTTATCAAACAGTTGGCGGGCATCCTCGATCACTTTACACCTAGCATACATATCAACAAGAGATGCACAAACAAAATGATCAAAATCCAGCCCACATTTCGAAGTGGCACAATGAATAACCCTACCAAATTGCAGGTCCTTCAGATCTCTGCAGGCCCTTATAACAATTGGCAATGTATAGTTATCCAATGGCATCCCACAACG